GTGTCACAGTACCTACCTCAGGCTGCAAAAACTGCCAAATAAGATCCCTCAAAATGGAGTCCATTTTCAAAGGGCAACTCCTGCTGGCACAGGTCTGCTCAGTCCACAGTGCAAAACTATCCAGTCTCATGTGAATTTTCTTTAAATATTACCAATTGTGAAGCTAAAAATAAATGTCTCAAAACTATCTCTACTTCAAAAAAAATCTACTAATCTATCAAAGAGAAATGATCTGAATCATTCTCTTATTCTCAATATAGAAATTATTACAAAATGTTATTTTAAAAGGCAATCAAAAAGCATGAAGGAAAAAAGCATCATTGAAGTATGTGAGGCTGGTAATTAATAAAATGTTGTCTTTCTTGATTTCGCGATTACTGTGGTATTTGTCAGTATAGCAATACTTGTAATTCATTTCTAGGTCTAAATGAATATATTTATTTTTATGCTGAATTTATATTTTAATTTTGTATTATGTATGTTACAGAGGGCTCCCTAAATTGTTTAAGCTTCAGGACCACAAAACCTGAACCTTCCCCTGACAAGTGGCATCACTGAATAAGACAGGGAAGGCTTATCAGGGCACAGAAGGCTGTTACAGGGGGAATGTGATAGAGGAATAATGATCACGTTTTCTTGGCTAGGTCAAGTCAGAAATGTCCATTAGACATTTAAATGGGTAGATATAGACAGCTGCATCCAGGGGTCTGAAGTTTGAGCACAATCATTGCACATGTGGTATTTGAATCCCTAAGAGACCATGAATTTCCTAGGAAAAAAATTTCCAGAAAAGGAAAAGAAGAGAGCAGCGTTCCTGACAGAGCTCAGAGACCCGCAACATTTAGAAATGTAGTGTAGGAAAGGAGCCAGCAGGAGGCCAAACAACAGCAGCAAGGCCACACAGGAGGCCAGGCAGGTGTCTGCCCAGAAGCCCAGAAAGGATCTTGGGGAAGAAGGGAAAGCAGTCAGGCCCAGCCCTGCAGGGAGGCCAAGAGAGACAAGGCAGAGCTGGCCAAGAGCCTTGGCTAATGCTACTCCTACACGGGAGCTAATTCCTAAGAGTGATGGGTGCACAGCTCTGGAGAGAATTCTGAAGAGCCTGGAGGGTGAGGAAGCAATGGCGGTGTATATAGATATCTCCTGAAGGTATGTGAAGAGGAGCAGGGGAAAGCAGGAGGTTCGCAATTAGTTTTGTTTTTTAAAGGGTAGTATTAAATAAAAAACTGAAGATGCACAAAAGAATAGGGACAAATGCAGAGCAATCTAGGGTCCAAATGGAAGCATTTGCTTTAAGTAAGAGCCAGAGAGAGAACGTGGTTACAGGTGCAGATAAGCAGATGGATTTGGTGCTGATTAGTCCTCATTTTATCACATCTGTTATTAATACAACATGGGATGATTTGGAATCAGAGAATGGCTATTCTTCAGACTATCAGGGATGGGGAACAAGAAAAGCAGTATCAGAAACTTGAGTGGAAAAAAAAAAGAAACCAGACATAGTTTTTGAGTGGAAAAGTAAAACACAACTTTGCTTTTTGTGTACTTTGCTACAAAATTGCAAACTGGGAAAAGACCTGCATGTTGCCCATTTCTGGAAATCCCATAGAATCAACCTGGTGTCTTGTACATGGTAAGCCCTCAGCGCACTCCCGTTGGGTAAGTGGGGAGGTGGATGAGTGAGAAGAGCCTTATGAGGGTCCGAAGGGAGAAATGAAGGTATGAAAGACTTCATCAAATGGGAGGAACTGAGGAGGATTCTAGATAAGAGGGTGGCATGAGTAAAGACAAAAGTGATGCTTCTTCCGGAGGACTTCCCCCTGACTGGGCAGAGGTGTGTGTCTGAGATGGGGACAGTTACGATCATGTGTGTTGGTAAGATTGGCCCAGGTGTGCCATGCCTTGAAAGTTATGTTCAGGAGATTGGATTCCAACTGAAGCATGTAATGTGGTTCTCAGCCTGAGGCTTATTTTGAAACTTTAATAAATACAGCCTGGCCAAACAGAAAATTTAAAGCTACAAGTAATTTCCAGTCACTCAAAATTTAAATTCAAAAAGTACAGACTTCTATTTTTTTCGGGGGTGGGGGGGAAGCATCTGAATGAGTCTACATTATAAAGATGCAAAATAAATGTTTTTTTCTAAAATAAAGATATTAACTCCAAGAAACTAAGCTCATTCATGAGATAAGGGAACATGTTGTTGATGATGGAGAGAGAACTGCATTTCAGCAGCTGTGCACCCCTCAAAAAACAGTTTTCTCACACCCACTAGCAGGTGCATCTGTTCTAGTGGTGGGTTGTGTTCTTGTTTGGGTGGATGCTCACAGAGGTGACGGGGTAAAGGGTAGGAAACGGTGAGTAGTTAATGACCACCTTACTAAAGGACTGCTTTGGGTTTGGCAGGATTCATCTTGGGCTAAAACCGATGGTATCTTACAGTTGTTTTAAATATTGATTAGTCTTTTGAACATTGATTAGTCTTGGAAGTACCATTATTAGACTATTATGTTATGATGTGGTTATCTTTTCACGGAAGGCAAAGAAATAGGTAAAAACCCTATAGATGGAGGGTGGTGTTCCTATTGAAAGAACTAAACGTTGCCCTTGTCAATTACCCTGGCAAGATCCTAGGACAGGAGAGAAGGATTGAGAAGATAGACCCTGATCAGACTAGCAAAAAGGAGGAACTCCTTTCTTTCTGTGGGACTGGTCATGCTTTGGGTGCTGTCCTAGCAGTAGGCATGAGTGACTTCTTTGTAGGTAAGTCAATATTTGGGTGACTGTAAGGCAGTGGGTTGGTCTGTCCCTTCATTAAAAATCACATCTTATATTAGTGCTAAGTTGTCTTCTTGTGCTTCCTCAATGCTTGAATCAATTTCAGTCCAGACTTTCAGCCTGGCCTAAACAAGGTGGTAAATAAAGAACAGGTCTAGGACATGTTTGGGTTTCGGTAAGAGAAGGGCAGGGCAGAGCCCCTTCTGGAGGCAGGAGGGGTGAATGCCCTGGATAACAATGCCATGCACCGTGGAACAGCAGTCCCTCAGGATGGTAGGCAGTGGTGCAGGGGCATGTTGGCTTTATTATGAAGTTCCATTATTAGATATGAATAACCAAGAGAAACTATAGGTGCAGGTGGTTGCAAAAGTCATAATTTAGTAATTTAATAAAAATCACTGGAGTTTAAGCAGGCCATGGTCAGTCCTCTCTTCCTCCTTTGAATTTGAAAACATTAGAGATTTAGATGATTTTTGAAGATTAAAGCATTAGTTCTATTATTGGTAGAACTCACTTGGACACTGTCATATAAACATCTCAAGTAACCAGTGGATACATTTTGCCCTTTTGGGGCAATGCTCCTTGGGAAGATACCAAAACGGGAACAGTAGCAGGTGTGGGGGTCCCCATTGCCCACCACCTTCTAGGGCAGAAAAAAAATGGCCAGTGGGACCAGACATCAAATTCTAGGAAAGGGACTTGAACCATTGAACTGTGAAGTGTTCAAGCTACATTAATAAACAGCAAGCGCTTGTCTGGAGAAATTTGAGTTCAGAGTCCTGCCAGCTCCAGGCTTGGGTCTGGGGATCATGATCGCTTCCAAGTTTATAACAGCAGGCAGTGTCCATTCCTCACCACGGTAGTGAAACCCTGCAGCCACTTAGCAGCTCCACTCTTCTCACAGCCTGCATCCCTGGGGAAACAGATTTTCTCCTGGCCTGCTGAGGAGGCTGGGTCCAAGCCTCAGGATTAACTGGGATTGGCCGCCTTAACTCTGTGCTGTACCTTATTTGCATCCAACTCTCTTTCTGGAAGACCTGATGAATGGGAATCTGTCTTCAACAAATGATTCAGGGTCACATCCAAGTGAGCTTCCTAATGCTTCGTCCCCATTGTCCTAACTTCCTCAGAACTATAGGGTCTGCCCAAGTGTGTCCACTGGTTGGAGGAGAAAAACATGTATGGGTCCCTAGACAGGATGCCATCAAAAAGGAAATCAAGAAAAGGCTGAACTTTTGTCCATCTTCCAAATCACCAATCTTCTTAGCCATTCACCTGCCCTTAGGGAAGGCTTCGGAGTAAAGGCTCCAGGAACCTTCAGAAACATTCCATGGATGCTGTTCCCTCCCATGGAGGGAAGCACAATGGTCTCTGTGGAAATGTGCGCAGATCAGAAATGAACTGGATCTAACTGTTCTGGAGGTGGATGGACAATGGTGAGTGCTCCACAATAATGTTCCTGTTTGAATGCCATCGAACTGTACACTTGAAAATGGTTACAATAGTAAATTTTATGTTATGCATACTTTAGTAAAATAAATAAATGTAAAAAACAAACCATGTTTTTGAGTTTTGTTGTTGAATAGTTAAAATATTCACGTGATTTTAAATTTAAAGAAAACAGAAACAGCCCCCTCCACAATCTGTTCCCTAGCTAATCCATTTTCTTCTCCAGAGGCAAACAATAATACCAGAATTTTGGTATTCTTCCAAAGAGATTTTATGCATTCACAAATAAATACATTTTTAAGAATGTCTTTACACAAGCAGTATCATATTTTACACACTCTCCTGCAATTTGCTTTTTTAACTTAATGAAATTTCTTGGAGAATGTTCCATATCAGTATATCAGAGTTTCAGCATTCGTAGCTACATATTTTGCCAGGGCACAGATTTCCACAGTTGATTTATCCAGTTTCCCCTGTGGTGCAAAACCAGATGTTTCAAATCTTTTGCTATTCCAAACAGTAGATAGCCTCTCCTATGTCCTTTCTCACCTATATCAACTCATAGAAGAGACATGGAATTGTCTAACTATGGTTTTAATAGTTTTTGATACAGGCAGACTTGACCTTAAGACTGCTGAGCAGACATCAGGAACATGCTATGAACCGACAAGGACCTCAAATCTGACAAGTTGTCCAGAAAAGCAACTATATGCATCCCACTCAGAGACTGTAGCTCCACATGTTTGTATGTATACAAAGGTAGAGAAACTACAAAGTAAACCTAAGAAGATAATGTTTATTTTTCAAAACAGCGTATCATAGGTGACGAAACAGAAGAACAGAGGCCAAGGCAAGTTGCAACTTGTCCAAAGTCACCCAGCAAGTTCATAAAAGTACCTGAATTAAAATCCAGATCAACAACCAAATCCTGTGCTCTTTCCACTGATCTATATTGTCCTTTTCCTCCAGTGCTCAAAAACAAATGAACTGAAGTGACCCCACTGGCCAGGAGAGCTTGCAGTTTCTGGGCTGTTATTTGATGCTGCTATGCAAGAAAGAACCAGAGGTGAATTTTGAGCAAAATGAATTTTTCATATTGTACATACCAAAACGTTATGAAGTATTCAAAATCTCCCCTATGCGATACAACTCAGGGTGATATCGACTGGAACAGAGAAGTCTAGCACTGCATTCAGAGACCAGAGATGCCAGATAATAGGGATTGAACTGGATGAAAGCAATTCTGGATTTTATATATGGTCAAGGGGAAATGTACTCAAACTCTGTACTTAGAGTCATAGTTGATAGAAACAAAGAATTCTTAGAAGTTGGTATTCTCAACCTTGATCTAAGAGAAAGTCTATTCTGAGCATTCCAACAAATTATCCCCAGATCTCACTGAAGTAAAACAATAAAAGTTTACTTCTCGCTTCTGTTGCAATTGGATGTGGTTGTATGGGGCGAGGGTTAGGGAGGCTCATGCAGCGATGGTTGTGACAGGGATCACATCTGCCCACATCCCATTGGCCAGGGCCCAGCACTGCCTCCCACTGCCGGAGAAGCTGGGAAATGAGTTTTCCTCTGTGTTCCATCAAAATGAGAATTTGGGTGAACACATAGCAGTATCTCTGCTTCATCAACATAAACTGGTTTGGAACTTAAATGGTAGAGTCTGAAGAAATCAGCAAATACGTGAGAACTGGGGCAGAGAAGGGAGCAGCAATCTGAACAGGATCAGAGAGAGAGACATTTGCCTATAGACAAGTCTGGGGTTAAAAGGGCGTGGAAATGGATTCCAGAACTCCACCGTATATCATTTATGGCTTGTGGGACATGAAAAATGTGTTAGGGTTAAACTGTGTAACAAACTGTACCTAATTCTTATTTCATAGTTGGAGCCAGTCATTCCCCATTAGCCTTTTTGCTGTCTTTATAAAGTCATGGGTTAAAAAGCCCCACTAGGTACTTCTGACATGCTGTCTGGGCTGGCAGAGTCTTACTGGCAACTGAGGCAGAGATTCCTAGTCCAGGGACTAGGAGTTCACTGAAATGGGGCCATCCTGGCCAAGCTTCTTCCTGTCTGCGATGCCGCACGTTTCATTTGCTTCCTGGAAAAAAGCAGTGAATGAGCAAGTGTCGACCTCAGGGCCCCTGGCAGAGTTTTTTTTTTTAAAAAAAAAAAAAAAAAACACAAACTGTGACAAATCTCAGGGAATCTAAAAAACAAACAATCATAACAGAGGCAGCCCAGCCTCTATGAAAAGAGCTTTGGCTTCATTACTTCAAACCCAGATTCTTGTGAGTCTGGCAACCACCCTACATCAAGATAAATATCTGTCTGCCTGCCAGCCCTAATGCTTAAAAACATAGGTAAGCTCTATTCTCTGAAGGATAAGCCTCTAACCTCAGAAGCGTGAATGTCCATAAGGGAAGGTCTGTGCCAGGGAGAGAAAGAGAGAGATTCAGAGCGGGAAGGAGGCAGCTCAAGTGGATCCATGTTATACAGAACATTATATGAAACTCTAGTTAATTGGGCTGTAGAGAAATCGGAACCCACAAGTAACTGACATCAGAACGGTTTGAAAGGCTCCCAGAAGATCTCACCCTCGCTGGCTCTGTAATCTCCAGCACCTGCAAAGCTCTGTCTTGCAGAGGAGAGAGCAGAACACACCTGCCAGCTGACATCTGCCTGGAGGAAGGAAAGACAGGGCTTCAACGCAGAGCATGAGAGCACTGGCACCTCTTTTGCGCCCGGCTGTCAGGCTCAGTTGCACTGTACATGGGTCTGCCTGTCAGCCTGCACTGAATCCCACTGAACGGTTCCAGGGCTTACTATCTGCACTCTGTTCTCACAGACATGTTGCCCCTACCTTCGTGCTCCCAGAGGAGTCTGGTTTCTATAACAACAGACCTCATGCCCCCAGCCCACCCAGCATGGTGTGGTGTGGTGTGTGTGGCCCACCTGCCAATCCACGCTGACTTAGTCCAGCCCTTAGCCTGGTCCCTCCAGACCTGCAGCACCTGTTTCTATCCAGGCAACATGCTGATCATCAGTATTTCCCAAGAGTGGAAAGAAGAAAATGGAGACTCAGAAATTACATAAATAAAGGCAGAGCTTCTCTAAGGCATTCTAATCTTGGAGCAGTTTGTGTTTCCTTCTCTGCTGCTTTATTTGGTACTTATAAGCTTGCAGCAGGAGTAAGAAGGCAGCTGTCATTTGGCTTGCTATGATGTGTTCCCAATCATCTTTCAGAAGAGAAGCTGAATTCGAGATTTTTAAAAATCTAAGAGCAGATTTTAATGCATTTATGGAGATATACCTTTTGTGAGTTTTCTTCTCTTCCATGTGTAGGTTTTTCCGAGAGACCAAATTGGGGGAAGAGAATAGGTAGGAAGTTGTTCTGTGGGCTTGCAACAATCTGGAAGAAATAAGAGCGCACAATAGAAACAGGAAAATCTTTAAGATCATGCTTTTTATTTGAACGGGATTCACATTTGCAGCTGTCCTTGTAAACAGAAGAACCACGTGACTATTGTAGGCTCTGAAACAGACCTGCCTAATTCCGATGCAAAAGCAGGGGTTTCTTGCTGTAGGTTGTAAGAGCAACTTCCCCCTGCAGCTGTAAGGCCTGTTAAAAGCATTAGTCCTCTGGGGCTAGTTCCCTCTCTACCAATGGTAGTTGCTAAGAGCAGGTGACCTTACAAACTGTTTTAGCAACTTTTACTGCTGGGAAACATTCTCTTGGGAGCTTTAGAAGCTGGCACAATAAATCTTGGTACCCACTTTGTTTATATTCTGAATAAAAACTTCTGCGCTGAAAATAGGAGATTTTCTTTAAGCAAATATAACTGATAGAATAGATTCCTTGCATGTAGCTTTGAAGGAGTTAAAGTAATAATAATAATTGCTTTTGTTTTGATAAGCCTTAGAGGTTCCAAAGGTCTCTCACATTTCATATTCACGGTTACCATGTGAAGTAGGCAGGGCTGACCTTGACTGGCCCCCTATCAGAAACTCAATGGGTTAAATGGTTTGCCAATGTCACAAGGAAACTAGTTGGCATGAATTGCAACCCAAATATTCTGACAAATAAGTTAGTGGGCTTTCTATCCTTCCATTCTGCTACACTTCAAAGATAATCCTGTGGATTTAAAAAAGGTAATGGCCACTCATGCACAAGCCCCTGGAAAATCCACAGACTGATGAAAGGAATCTATTTTGGTGATTCAAGGAAATATCGAGCTGCCAATTTTAGAAAAAGCAGCCAATGCAAATAAGCATGATATATTCATATATTCATCCATTTGAAAGAAACCTGATGGCAGGAATTTTCTCCCAGCAAGGCAGATTCTAGAAAGTATCAGCCTCAGTACAAATGCATGTCATTCTCTGCAACCTTCATGCCTACAGGGAGACCACAGATTCCTTGAGCATGAAGACTGGCCAGAATCTGAGATAATTTAATCCAACCCTATGTTACAGGGAAGGGAAGCAGGTGCAGAGAACAGTGCCTTGTTCAAAATCACTTTTGTAATAGGTATCAGAAGTAGGATGAAACCCCAGATCTTCAGACACCACACAGTTCAGAGAGATGCCTTGAGGTTCCAAATCACTAAAGCACCACTCTATTACACTCAGTTCAGTATTTAAGCAGGTGAGTGAAGTCAGGCTCTTTAGCTGGACCTGGAGCAATGAAGGCTGAAATCAAAGGCCTTTGACTTGCTCAAGGTTGTTCTGACAGTGGGTGTTCCCCAAGTGCAGACTCTCTGGAAGTCAACTCCATCTCTGCTTTCCCCTGGGACCTCAGGATTAGAGTGTGGAGCCAGGGCTGGCTGATGCTTGGTGTGGTATGATGTCTGGGACAGGGTTTGGCCGCGTGCTTCGGTGCTTTCTGCATTGCTTAGTTTATCAGCCAGGGCACAGTATGAGCCCCAGAAAATCCAGGCCAAAGCAATCCTAACCCATGTAGCACGGGGTTGTGGAACCTATTCAGGGGCTTTCTCAGAAGGCTTTCCAAGTCGTCACCAGTAGGTTTGTTTTCAAACCTGGGTCCAAAACCAAACCACTTATAGTTATGTCAGCAGGTTTGCCCAAGGTGTCCCTGATTTGTTGTCATCGGGCTCCTAAAAGAAACACAAAGCTCAGGACTGGCAGACCCAGCAATGGCCTGAGAACAGGGTCAAGGAGAAACTTCCCCCTCACCTCTCTGCTTTAGGAACTTCATCAAACAAAACTGTACTGGGTCGGGGATTGCCCCCACAGGGAAGCAAATGCCGTGGTGGGCTGCTCTGACTCCTCTACCCTAGGACCCTGGCACATGCCCTCCCACATGTCAGGAATGTGGACCATGGGTGGCCCATAGCTGAGTCCCCTCCCAGGGATTGCCCTTGGTCAAAGGTCACTGCCCCCTTCAAGGTTACCACCCCTTCCCTGGAAACAGCCTTGCATTCCACAACTGGTCAATGTAGGGGTACAAAATGTTGGTTCTTAGATTAATTTGGTATATCTTCAAATATCAAAAATTCAAGGAGCTCTACTGTTCCATGAGGGATTGGGTGTGGGTGCAACTTTGGCCTCTACTGAGGTCTGCCTCCCAGAGTCCTTTACAGGTATAAGTGCTCCCCGGTAAACTACCTGCATGCAAATATTTGTCCCAGAATCTTTTCTCCAGAGAACTTGACCTACCAAAGACACACACACACACACACACACACACACACACACACACACTCTTTATCAAAATTTTGCCTCCTTTGAGACCAAAATCTTGATTCTTGACTTCTGATGGAGACTCCTCCAACGACTTTAGAGCAGATGCCTAGAAGGCTGCTTTCAGACATCTGAAGAAATCTGTATTTGTTCCTTATGGCTGCTGTAACAAAACACAACATACTTGGTGGCCTAAAACAAAACACATGTATCTATTCTGTTATAGTTCTGGATGTCAGAGTCTGAAATCAGTTTCAATGAGCCCAACTCATGGTGTCAGCAGGACTAGGCTCATTTTGGAGACCAGACAAAGAAACCAATCTCTTATCTTTTCCAGCTTCTAGAGTTGAATGTTTTGCATTCCTTGGTTCCAGGTTCCCTTCTCCATTTTCAAAGCCAGCAGCATAACATTTTCTACAATGGCCACACTGCCTTATTCTGCTTTGTCAAATCGCCCTCTGCCTCCCTTTGGGAAGGATGCTTGTGACTGCATTTAGAGCCTACCTGGGTAATTTTACTTCTTGATGCTAGAACTTGCTAGAACTTCTCCCCCTCCTTGTTTTTATTTCTCCTTCTATTCCTTTACCCCCTAAATTCAACATCTGCACTCCCCCTGGAGACTCTGTTGTGTGTATGAAATAACATTATCAGCACACTTCGTCACTGGAGAGGAGGGAAAGGAATGAAATTGTAGTTTAAGCCCAATTGGCAGAAGCCTGTGTCACTTCTATAAAGCATCCTCTGTCAACCTAGAATGATGCTGCATGACCCTTCAGATAGGGATCTAGAAGGCTAATCTTCTCATGCTTATTGGCTGGAAATAAGGCTGATCTTAAATTCGGTTGACTCCAAGAAACGTTCTGCAATCTCATTTCTTCTCTTGCCACCATTTTTTTTTAATAGGTTATTTCCACTTCTTTTATGGACCTATGTGAGTTTTCTGTCACTTCAATGAACACCCGAAACATATCTACTTAATAAGAGAAAAGGTTTATTTTGACTTACAATTTTTAAAGTTTCTGTCCCTGATCGATTAAGATCTGTTAATTTAGACCTTTGGCACAGCATGGTATGACCAATGTGTGTGGTGTGCCCAAACTGTCCACTTCGTGGCAGAGAGAAAAGGAAGACTGGGTTCCCACAATCCCCTTTGGTGGTACATCCCCAGTGACCTACAGACTTCCCACTAGGCTCTGCCTCTTAAAATTTCCACCCTCTCCTGAAAGCACCAAACTGAGGACTAAGCCTGTAACACAAGGGCCTTTGAAGGACATTAAAGATCAGAACTAGCAGGACCATATAGCTTCATCTACATATTTGTCCCCCTTCCCCAAGAATGTGAGCTTCTTTCTACATCTTTCTGTTCCAATTCAGCAATTATTCAAGATCTACCTGAGTGAACATGGCCTCTGCAGAACTCTGCTACCTACAGTCTGTGAAATGGCCTATCATCCCAGCCACCCTGGCTGTGCCACACACAAAGGACAGGCCCTCAACACCCAGTGACATTTGGCAGTCAAAGGAAACTTGTGAATGCAATCTGTAAACATGACAGCCAACGACGTGACCCTGGGGGAAGCCCTTCACATGGGTCTTTCCTTGTTGCTTTTATATTTAGTACAAATAAAAAAAACCTGCAACTATTTTTCTCAGTGGTGGGTTATCAAACAGTCATCAAAAAGAGTAAGAAATAATTGTGACTTTTCTCCCTATTAGGGCAAATACTCCTTAAATGTGGGTCCACTTCCACCTGACACTTATCTCTCCCATGCCTGGCTCATGGAATATGAACCAATATTTATTGTACTGAAAAAGATTCAGAAGGAAAAGACCCGAGTATCTATTCTCAGTTCTTAATTTTTTTCCCTATATTTATAAGTTTTTAATTAAGAAGTATTTCAACCATATAGAAAGGTGTAGAAAAAGAAACAGATAACCATAAGCCTACCCTCTAGATTAAATATTTCCCCATATTTACTTCAAATCATTTGTAAAAAAAAAAAAAAAAAAAAGCAAAAGCAAAAGACAGCTAAAGCCACAGCCCCCCTTCCCTTTCATCCCTTCTCCATCTTTCTTCCACAGAGGAACCCCTGCCTGAAGTTGGCATGAGTTATTCCCACGCATGAGTCTGTACTTTCAGTAGATATTTATAAATCCCAAGCCACATTTACTATTGTTTTTTATGCATTCAGAATTTACATAAATGGCATCGTATTCTTTTGCAACTTGCTTTTCTTACCCAACAGAATAATTTAGAGACTTATTCTAAATTCTATGTTGTATGAATACAATGTAGACCTAGCTTGTTCATTTTGACTGCTTTTCCGTTGCCTTTAAAAAAATTTTTTTTAATTTGTTTTAATTAGTTATACAGACAGTAGAATGCACTTATGCACTTTGATA